TGGAATGTTGTTGTTGTTGTTGTTTGCCATTGAGCCGACCCCGACTCATAGCGACCCCTCCTTGGGTTTCCGAGGCAATATCACTACGGAAGTAGGATTGCCCAGCCTTCCTTCTGAGGAGTAGCTTGTGGGTTTGAACCTCCAGCCTTCTGGTGAGCAGTCAAATGCCTTAGGCACTACGCTACCAGAGCTCCTAAGATGGTGGAATACACAAACCCTCTTCAACAAAGGAAAGAGGAACCAATTAACACAGATACAGAAGATAATCCTGGAGCCCTGAGCTTTGAAAGGAAGGATACATAAATGGACTAAACTCCAAGTAGTAGAGGAATCTGCATGAAAATAGTGAATAAAGAGACAAACAGAGCTGCAGGCTGTCAGTGATCCTGACAGCATGGACAGTTTGGATATTGTCAAGTGGTGTTAGGACCTAAGAATTAATCTAAAAATCTGCTCTGGTAGTCAGGGGCTGCACAGAGGACTGCACTGGTGGCTGATGAATAAAAGGGGAAACAGAAAAGAAGATAAAATGAGATGTGAACTTTTGGCTATGAGGTCCCAGTCATTTTGAATGTTTACAAGTGGTTCAACCATTCTGAAAATTTAAAGTGACAGCATTCTCTCAGATTCCAAGAATTTAAGAATAAGCTCCACTTGCCTGGGACCACAAGGACATACCTGACATGAAGAACTGGAAAGGTGCAATATTCCACTTGTTACTCTTATACCCCACACCCTGTTGGTGAACAGAGGTGTGGCCATCCCTCACTCCCACCCACCTTCTGGATGGGCAGGAATTCCGTCCCAGTCTGTGTGCTCTGATGGAGCCTGGATGCCCTGCCCTGCCCCACCTAGATTTTTTTTTTTTTTTTTAAAGTTTGTTTTTGTCTGTTTTAAAAGTATTTTTTTTCCATCCTTTTTATTGTTATTCTTTCTTCTTCCCTTCCTAAATTCTAGTTTTCCAGCTCTTTCTTTCTTGCCTTTTCCTGGTTCCCATTTTTTTCTTTCTTTCTTGTGATTCTCCCCATTCCTTGTTTCTCTTTTTGCATTTTCCCCATTTTTTTTCTTCATTATTCTCCTACTTAGCCTCTTTTCTCTTATTCTTTCCCCACCATATATTTTGGGGCTTTTATTCCTCCCTTTTTTCTGTTCATATTTCTTTTGGCTTTTTAAAGTATTTCTTTCAATATTTTCTCTCATTTATTGCCATTCCCCTTTTTTTTCCTTTCTTTTTCTTTTTCTTTTTCTATTTCTCCCTTTGGTGATTGTTCCTGTGTGTTTATGTGGTGCGTGTTTTTTCTCCTCTTGCTTTTACTTTTTTGATGGTTTCTGGTTGTTGTTTTGTCTAACTGACTGGGAGACTGCAACCATGTCCTTATGACCCAAACACACTCACACCTCCTGCAGCTCCACTTAGTAAGTGAGGGCCACGACTTCCTTCTGCACCTCCTGGCCAATGATACATGACCACCAACTAGAATCTGACTCACCCTTAAATGCTCTTCATAAACAATTAACAGAGATCTGTGCAGCCACTCTTATTCTCTATCACACCCACCAGGAGACAGGTGGTGAGTGCATAAATACTGCCAATTAGTGAATAGAGGAGAACAATACCTTGCTTACTTAGATACATAAAAAAAAAAGAAAATGAACATCTCGGGTGAATCACTCCAACATACAATCAGCAATTAAATAAAAATACAACAAAGTCACAATATCTAAGAGACAACAAATCATCACAGTCCACACAAAGAAGCAAAATAAAGCAGTAGAAACAAGGGAGGAGGATACAGACCCAGAACATATCTCTGAGAAGAAGCAGCATTGGAACTTCCTGATAAAGAATTCAAATGAATTATATTTAGGTACCTTCAGTTAATTGAGAGACAGATCAAAGAAAACACTGACAAAATTAAAGGAAGTACAGACAAAACCCTACAACAATTTTGGAAGTAAAAACAAGAACAAAATGACAAAATAAATGAAAAAGAAAAATGATACAAAATCTACAGATAGAAATCCAGAACACTAATACTAAATTTTCAGTAATAGATAACTCATTGAAAGGGCAAAGGAGTAGAATTGAATCAATGGAAAACAGAATTAATGAGATTGAAGACAAATACCTGAATACTTCTTTTGAAAGGGATTGATCAGAAAAAAGATCAAAACAAAGTGAAGAAAGCCTAAAATTCATGTGGGATACCATCAAAAGGAATAACTTACATGTAATCGGAATTCCAGAACAGGAAGAGAAAAAGAAAACCACTGAGAAAATTGTCCAAGATTTGTTGGAAGAGAACTTTCCTGATATGATGAAAGATGAGAATATATCCATTCATGAAGTCCAACAAACCCCAAACAGGATAAACCCCAAAAGAAAATCACCAAGACATATTATAATCAAACTCACCAAAACCAAAGACAAATATGGAATCCTGAAAGCAGCATGGGAAAAATGAAGAGTTCCCTACAAAGGGCAGCCAATAAGAATAAGCTCTGATTTCTCACCAGAAATGATGTAAGCGAGAAGGCAATGGGATAGTATATCTAAAACCCTGAAAGAGAAAAAATTTCCAACCAAGAATTATATACCCAGAAAACTTCTCCTTCAAATATGATGGTGAAATTAGGAGATTTACAGATAGGCAGAAATTAGGGAAATTTGGTAAATCCACACTAACCTACAAAAGATACTAAATGAAGTCCTTTGTATAGAGAACCAATAATAGCAAACAACAAACAATTAATACACATGATGACATAACCCAGAAACCAAGCCAGTTACAGAAATATCCAAAGTAAAATAAGTTTACAAGATTGCAAACAGGGAATCAAGGACATCAATTGACAAATGAGGAAAACTACAAAAAGGAAAAAAAAAAAAAAAGGAAAAGAAAACAGTGTTGTTACAGAACTTCTAAATGGTGAGGAAGTTGAGAGAGTTGCAAGATAGAATGGACTGTTCTAAATGGGAGGAGAAAATTATAAATCACAGAGTAACCTCAAAGAAAAATGATAAAGTATCCCATCACAATAAGAAGACAAGCACAAATACTTAGCAAATTCTAAAACAATGGCAACAATGGAAAGGATAATGCAATTATAAACAAAATGAGCTCAGCACAGAATATTATATGGAACAAAGAAAATAGGAACACCATGAAGAAACACATAACAAAATGACAGAAACAAATTCATATTTGTTGATAATTACACTGAATGTGAATGGATTATATGCACCACTCAAGAGACAGAGAGTTGCAGACTGGATAAGAAAACATAGCCCATCACTAACCCATCTGCAAGAGACACACCTTAGAGACAAAGACAGAAATAGACTAAAAATCAAAGGATGGTAAAAGATATATCAAGCAAATGGCAACCAAAAAACAGCAGAAGTGCTACTATTAATTTGATAAAATTAACTTTAAGACAAAAAATTAAATAAGATAAATAAAAAATAAGAGACAAGGAAAGACATTACATAATGACTAAAGGATAAATTGAACAAGAAGATATAGCCATAATAAATATCTATGGACCTGATGAAAGAACCCCAAAATACATAAACCAGACTTTAACAGAATTGAAAAGACAAATAGATGACTGTACAGTCAGAGCAGGAGGTTTTACTATGCCACTTTCAATAAAAGATAGAACAACTGGAAAGAAACTCAACAAACACACAGAAGAACTAAGTAATAAAATCCACCAATTTAACCTTATAGACGTCTACAAAGCACTTCACCCCAAAACAGCACAATTACACATTCTTTTCCAGTGCACAGGAGCTCTGGTGGTGTAGTGCCTAAGATATCTGACTGCTAACAAAAAGGCTGGAGGCTCAAACCCACTAGCTGCTCCTCATAAGGAAGATTGGACAATCTACTTCTGTAGTAATACTGCCTTGGAAAACCAAGAAGAGGTTACTATGAGTTGGATCTGACTTGATGACAGTGAGTTTGTTTTTAGTTTTGGTTTTACTAATGCACATGGAACATTCTCCATGAAAGACCATATGTTAGGCCATAAGCAAGTCTTAATAAATTTAAAAACATTGAAATACTGCAAAGCATCTTCTCAGATCACAGTGATATAAAATTAGAAATCAACAACAGGAAGACCAATGGAAATAGAGCAAACACATGGAAACTGAACAACACCCTCCTTAAGAATGACTGGGTAATAGAAGAAATACAAAATTAAATTTAAAAACTCCTTGAATCAAACAAGAATGAAAACACAATATACAAAAATTTTTGGACACAGCAAAAGCAGAGATCAGAGGCCAATTTATAGCAATAAATTAATACACAAAAAAAGAAGAGTCAACTTAAACCAGTATTTCCAACAATTAGAAGGAGAACAGCAAGAAAAGCCTAAAGTCAACAGAAAAAAGGAAATAATAAAGATTCAAGCAGAAATTAATGAAACAGAAAATAGAAAGACAATAGAACATATCAACAAGATCAAAGTTGGTTTTTTGAAAAGCAACTGGCAAATTTAACAAAGAGAAAGAAGGAGAGAATACAAGTAACATGAATAAGAAATGAATTTGGCAACAACACAACAGAACCAACTGAAATTAAAAAGATAATATCAGAATACCATGAAGAACAAATTTGAAAAATCTAGAAGAAATGGACAGATTTCTAGAAACACACCACTTCCCTAAACTAACACAGACTATGGTGGAGAAGTTGAACGACCCATAACAAAAGAAGAAATTGAACAAGTCATAAAAAATTACCAACAATAAAAACATCCTGGCCCAGAATTCTCACCAGAAAATTTTATCAAACGTTCAGAGAAGAACTGACACCAATCCTATTCAAACTATTCCAGAACACAGAAAAGGATGGAATCCTCCCTAATTCATTTCATGAAGCAAGCATAACCTTGATACTAAAACCAGACAAAGACATCACTCAAAAGGAAAACTACAGACCAATATCCCTCATGAATATCAACACAAAGATATTCTCCCAAATCCTAGCCAACAGATGCCAACAACATATGAAAAAAATAATATGTTATTATCAAGTATATCAGGTACTGAAGGATGGTTCAACATTAGGAAAACAGTCAACATCATCCATCACATAAATAAAACAATGGAAAAAAACACATGATCATATCAATCGATGTACAAAACTCATTTGATAAAATCCAATATTCAATCTTGATAAGAATTCTCTTCAAAATAGGAATAGAAGAGATTCCTCAACATAATAAAGGTCATATATGCAAAACCAACACCAACATTATTCTGCATGGAGAGAGACTGAAACCATTCCCCTTGGGAACAGGAACCAGACAAGGATGTCTTCTATCATCATTTCTTTTCAACATTGTATTGGAAGTCCTAGCCAGGGCAATAAGGCAAGAAATGGAAATCTAAAGCATTCAAATTGGCAAGGAAGAAGGACAACTAGCACTATTTGCTGATGATATGATCCTATACATAGAAAACCCAAGAGACTCAGCCAAAAAAACTACTGGAAGTAACTGAGAGATTTAGCATAGTGACAAGATACAAGATCAACATACACAAATCAGTTGGATTCTACCTCAACAACAAAAAGACAAATAATCCAATAAAAAAATGGGCCGAAGACATGAATAGACCCTTCATCAAAGAGGATATCCAGGAGGCCAACAAATATGAAGAAATACTCACAATCATTAGCCATTGGAGAGATGCATATCAAAGCAACAATGAGATACCATCTTGCTCCAGCACTAGTAGCAAAGTTCAATAAGGAAGAAAATAACAAATACTGGCAAGGATGAGGAGAGATTGGGACACTCATACACTGCTGTTGGGACTGTCAAATGATACAACCACTGTGGAAAGCAGTATGGCAATTCCTTAAAAAGTTGGAATTAGAAATACCCTATGGCCCAGCAATTTCATTACTAGGTATATATCCTAAAGAAGTGAGAGCCAGGACAAGAACAGATATATGCACACCCATGCTCATTACAGCACTATTTACAATAGCAAAAATATGGAAACAACCTAGGTGCCCACCAACTAAGCTATGGTGCATACACAATGGGATACTATGCAACCCTAAAGAATAACATAGAATCTGTAAAACACCATATAACATGGATGAACTTGGAGGATATTATGCTGAGTGAAATAAGTCAATTACAGAAGGACAAATAGTATATTAGTCAGTATTGTAAAAAGATCAAGGAAAGGTTTATATACAGAAAGAAATTCCTTTTGTTGGTTACCAGAGGTGGGAGGGGAGGGGAAGGAACACTGTTAGGTAGAGACAAATATTGATTTGGGCGAAGAGAAGGGCAATGTACCAAATGTGAGTGATCAACACGGTGGCATTGAGGAGGAGGAAGACATAGAGAGGTGAACGGGAGGTACAGACAACAAAGATGAACCCTTTTGCACATACAGTACTGTGTTGTCAGTGATGGCAAACATTGATATACAGGTGGATAGATAGGTGGACAGGCTGAATGATTTGGTCTGTCTATGCAGGGAGGAGTGTGTCCAAGACCATGCATAGGGTTGGCAGATAATGTTTCTATAAGTATATTGGTATGTTCTGTGAAAATGTCCAGGTATATAGTAGAGCTGACAAGGAACAAGGTTGTACTCACTTCTTGGCCACAGCCAGCTATCCAGAGGGAGCAAGTAGTTGGATCTGTGGGCTCAGGACCATGGTCACAGGGGACTTCAAGCTCAACTGGCATAACATATTATATAAAAATATTGTTCCACATCCCACTTTGGCAAGTAGCAACTGGGATCTTAAAAGCTTCCAAGCAACCATCTATATGAAGTGATGAGTTTCTCCTTGTCCGCAAAGAATAAAGAAGAAAACCAATGATTCATGGAAGCAATTAGTCCAAGCAACTGGTACACCATGCAATCCTCTGCCTATATGACTATGAAACCAGAAGAACTAGATGGTGCCCATTTACC